ATTTGGATTTCAAATATTAATATTTAAAACTAATAAAGATATTCAAAGATCTCGAATACTTGTTGTGCTTCTCCTTTTCTCACAGCGTTTTCTTCTTCAGTTTTCTTCTTGTTTTTTTCCTCAAGCCTCTTTTTTGCAGCTATTTTCTTTGCTTCCTTTTCTTTCATAGCTTTCCAGGCCTCAAATGATGCTAATGCTTCTTCTCTCTTAGCAGCTCTTTTCTATAGTGGACAAAATAACAGCAGATACTTAAGTATGTATAAATAGACAGACAACTATAGCTGGATATATACATATGCATTTATCTTTAATCCTTTGATATTTATCATATATAAAAATTAAGTTTCCAAGTAGACAATTTAGAATGGGTTAGATAAGTTAATTTACAAAAAAAAAGTTATCTGAATTATTCATTGATTTTAAAACATCCTTTCCTAAAAGTATTTATCAGATATTGACCTACTATTCATGAGAAGCCAATTATTATTTTCATAAGTATGCTAAACAAATGATATGAAAATACACTATAATAGGCTAAGTGGTACAGTAAAATTTTTATAATAAAATATTTTGGTTAAAAAAAATCAGGAAAGTTAAGAGCTTATAAAGTAAGCTAGTGTAAGGCCAACTGGCCAAGTCACACAATAAGGTGCAGATCTTTGGTTTGAACCCTAGTTTCGAATGATATCAAAGCATAAAATTCTTACTACACAAACATAGCCCAAATTTTGAAAATGTATACCAGATTGAAAATTATGCAGGAGACTGTATAGCAACTGTATATGTTGTTATTTTACTTACTTCAATCTAATTCCATACTATTCTATGTTTGCTTTATAATATTGTTTATATTAAATGACATAAGACCTTATTATGGAGGTAACATAATTTCGAAGTCAAAGTACTATGTACCTCATAGAGTTGTGAAAAATCAGACAAGATATATGGCACTGACCACAGCAGAATAATGCTACAAACGTGGTTAACAGGTACACAAGCACACCCCCTGGAGGCCTGCTCCACTCAGTACCAGTTTATTATAGTGCAGTCCACTTGGGAAAATATTTTTTTTTTTCTAAATCTACTTTAGTATTATTGAGCAGCACAATGAAATGGTTTTTTTTTTGAAACTTTTATTTTGGAAGATAGGAAAGAACTGAGTATGTTGTAGGCTATCAGGCAGGAGTCAGAGGAAGAGACTGAAAGTACAGGAGAGACTGGAACAGATGTCCAGCTCCAGTCAGTGGGAAAGGATACAGGTCAACAGCACAGGTAGGGGTTGGTCTTGAACATACATACAAAATTCAAGAGAGAAACAAGGAAAACTGAAGGCTAATTAATGCATAGTAAACCTTTATCTTCTTGGCTAAATTCTAAATAAAGTTAACTTTTAAGAGTGAATTCAGTGGTCACAAATAATAATAAGTTCATAATCAGTAGTGACAAAGCTATCCTACATACATGTAAAATAAACATTTGTGTTTTCATGTAAAAGTTACACTTATATCAGTCTAAAAATTTTAAGTACAACAGAAATAAAACCAAAAATCAATTCGTTAGTATACAAGCTATTCTCCCATTTTAAAAAGTTGATTCAGGATAGTTAAATATTCAGAGATATTTTATCGACATAAACATCAAGAACATTTTTACTTCTGTATTTCAGAATACCTGTTCATTTTGGATCCTTAAGTTTTCACTTTCAATCCTTTTTATTCTATGCAATTCATGTAAATATACATTTTTCTTTTCTAACCATTCCTATAAAAACAAGAAAAAGGCTATATGATATTCAAAATTTCCTAAATGAATTAGACTCCTTATTTCCAAAATATTTGATTAAAACTTCAAAAAAGGAAAACACAAAATTTATAAATTCTATATAAGCTAGTATTTTTATTTATCTGATAATATTCTAATAAGTAAAGCTGATTACTAGTTAAGAAAATTATGTATGTTACCCTTCTTAGTATTAACAATAGACTTTAAATACTACATATATTGACTACATATATTAACATTTCTCTCTGAAATTCACATGTACAATGTTCTAAAGCATACTATTGTGTATAAAAAACAAGACAAAAAAGACCTTTTTTAGAATTGTGAAAAAAATCAGTAAAATCTTTTTCTGTATAAGCCTAAAAAAATTCAGGAAAGAAAAATTTAAAAACTCTTTTTGTTCATAATAATATAAACTACAAGGTGAAAAAGCATAAAAACATATATAGACCTTTCAACATTTGTCTTTTGCTA